ATCATCATCATCAACATCATCATCAACAACATCATCATCATTATCAACAACATCATCATCATTATCAACATCATCACCAGCATCATCATCATCATCACAATCACTATCACCATCACCATCCTCATGGAACACCACCATCATCATCATTCTGACTTCATGCATCATCATCATCATGGATCATCATCATTAATGCAATCCTGCATATATAATCATACCTTGAGAGTAAACTCCATAGAAACAGCACTACTAGGATCATTATTATTTGCATTTCCTTTGTTATTGTTGACTGAGTTAGCATGGATGTACAATAAGAACATACACTTGTCTTTGTTGTACTTGTTACGACCTGAGATTAAAAGAAAAAAATGAAAAAAAAGAAAAAGAAAATCATTCCACATACAGATCTTTTTCATGCGTCAGCCATGTTAGCTTGAACAATAGATTCCAGCGCTTTCATTCCACCATGCGTCGCCTTCCATTGCTTGAGAATCAATTTATGCGCGTGAAACAAACTTGAGATTTTTATTCTCATTAGAAAAAAGATCGCTGCCATGAGATAAAGTTCCATAAAGAACTTTACTTACATTCTTCAGAGTTGGTAACCTTGACGATTCCTGTTGCCGTGACAACATCCCCGGGTACGCAACTATCCACTGAAAGAACAAAGATTCAAAATATCAAAAACACCAAATCAAGTTCAATGTTTACACTATTATATTACTTTTAATATGTCATATAACATACATCCCTTACCTAGGTCAGCCGTCAGCTCGCACTCTACTGTGCGAGGTATGCGTCCTGCCTCTCGTTGGTTGTCATCCATGATTTCTTGTATCCTGAGTGAATAAAGTGAAATTAATGTAATGTAAAATATAAAGGGAATAATATGATGATATGTGATATATGAAATGAAAAATACCTTGATGAGAAATATCATGACTGTACCTTATAGTCTGCCAGTCCATAGTAGTGGTGAGAGATGAACTACGTTCAGGTGTAAAAGCTCTTCCACGGCACTCAGATGATGCACACTAAGCAATAGAGTCCAATCACAGTTAATACTGCCTTTTGTATCTAGACAGGAACACCAGACGTCAAAAGGTCCAACTGGCTTTTAAAACTTGTATGTTTGTCTCCAAAAGAGGGTAAATTTTTTAAAATATCAAATAAGGCTGCCTTTGAAATAAAAGAACTGTAACATTTTTAGCTGACAAACATTCAAGTTTCAGGAGCCAGTTAGAACACGTTTTGATGTCTGGTGTTTGCGCCAAGATGCAAATCACAGTTTTATACTAAATGTTGTGTAATAAGCTTGAATGAGAGAATTTTCGCTTTAAACCCTATACAACCTTCAAAAATTACAAATACCTTTTTAAAAAAAATTCTTTCGAAAATATTATCCATAGATTTTCATTAAAACTTTTTCCAAAAAAATACAAATTTTAACAAATGTTTTTACCGTTGTTGGTATTTTGTACTTTCCATCTTGTAAAGGTATGCTCTGAAATAAAGAAAAGAATACATTTTATTTTTTATTTTTTTACTTTTTCTGGCAATCAATAAACTAACCTGCTGGAAAGAACATAGGTTACAGGAGAAGCCCATCTTGATGACAAGGGGTTTAACATTACTAACGCGCACCACTGTACCCCGGATTGCCACAAATTTACCTGTAAGAGAAGAGAGGATGATCAAAGAAATGATAGAAAAATGGGAAAAGAAATGGGAAAAAGCTTACCAAAGTAATTTGCTTTAAGATTCTTAAGAGGAATGATGGAGTCATAGTTGATAATCCTAAAATCAAAATGCGTAAAAAATTAATGAATGGATGGATATAGGATGGGTGGATCAATGGATAAATAGATGGATGGATGGATGGATGGAATGATGGATGGCTAGAAGGATAGATGGATGAACAGATGGATAGATGCATGGATGGATGGAAAGATGGAAGGAAGGAAGGAAGGATGGATGGGTGGATGGATGGAAGGGTGGATGGATGGACGGATGGATGGAAGGACGGACGGAAGGACGGATGGACAGAAAAACTTTTCCTTTCGCTAATTYGTATCATATTATTTCTTATAGTTTAACCAATGGAGACCATCGATAGTATGTGATAATGCATGCTGTAGCAGATATACATACCTTGCATGGATATATGGGAAATCAAACATAGGAGCCGTAGAGACTGGGTTGTCTTCAGCCTCAGCCAAAACCTGACATCAAACATGATTGAAAAATTATCATACGCAAATATGTGGTTCCAGAAAATTTCAATACCCCACCATGGAAAAAATTCATAAAATGGTCCCCCCACCCCTTAGGAATTTATGTTTTCTTCCATAAAAACCTTGTAATTTTGTTTTTCTTCTGATCCCCCACCCCCTGRGAATTTTCAATTTTCTCCATGGTGGAGAATGGATATTTTCTAGAACCACACAATACGAGAAAATAAGTACGTATTACAGAGTTTGAGAAAATGTAATTCACTGTTGGTAATAACAGTCTGTATACCTGATACATGGCTATTCCAATGCATTGTAGGATTTTCTCTGGTGTTTCTTTAAGTTCAGTAATAAATGACGGCAGATTAGCTGCTAGACCTGATAGCAAAAATATGAGTGTTGTGAGACACAAATATCATTTTAGAAACCTTGCTTAGGTTCGTACATTGCTCATCTATCTCACAGGGCTCCATTAAAACCCTCCTTAAAGATGTGGGCTCATTGTCTAAATATCATGATAAATAAATAAATCTAAAATACTAGTTAGCCTATTTCAGACTATGTTCCCATGACAGTAATATTCATCCATGAGCATGTAACAATACTCAATAGAATGACATGTGGTTTGGAATAGGAAACACATTATTTTGCATTTACTAATAGATCTTTAAGGCTTGGAGCATAAGGTTGTCCTATTTCAAACCATGTGTCATTCCCTAGAGTATTATTTTTTGTTTAACAGTTGTATATGAGAAAAAGCATCTTATTCTCAAGGGAATGAACACATGGTCTGAACTGGGAAAACATTATGTCTGGGCCAAGGAGGTATATTTAGCTGGAGATTGACACTGAGATGCAATTCTATACACAATATAACTATTGTTCTGCAATGACTAGTAGCGACTGACTAGGTCTGTGTTCACATGGAAACATAAGAGCGCTTTCACATGTGTGAGAGGCTAGTTAGTCGCTAGTCAATGCAGAATGGTTAATAGTGTATACTGAAGATGTTTGATAAATACATAAATACATACATATATATATATACACACATTCGATTGCAGAAACGTTGTAGTATACATTATACACATATCTAATTTATTCAGTATATTTAATGATATTCAAAACAGAAAAATCGCTTTATTTATTGTTTGTTTCATTTAATGACTGTCAAAATATTATTTTCTTGTCTATTAGATTGTACAGATTATAAATCAGTTGGTTTTAAGCGTTGAAAATGGACATTTTGCATAAATGCATCTCATTAGATATTTGTATAAATGTATAAATGCATACTACAACGTTTCTGCAATCGAGTATATATATATATATCAAGGGTACTGCTGTGCAGTACATTACCAGGATCGCTAATTATGTCTGGGTATTCCAAAGTAACAGATCCTTTTCTTTCAATATCATCCTACAGTCAAAAAAATCACAATATAATTACAAATTCTTCTTAATTGTACTGTACAATACTTGTACTGTAGATTATTAGACTTGATACTTACCTTTGAAAATTCAGCCGAGTGTTGTTCAAAGTATGACATGAAAGCTTCTATCTTTGGGATKAATGGAGAACCTGGTACATATTCTGCATTATGTGTACAACATTGAAAATGTATTATAATTAACTAATTAATTAAAATTAAGGGGCAATTAATTAACCACTGAAAATTGGCTGAAATCCAAATAGCTTATTTAAATCTTTTAGGTAAATTAGCAAAGAACAACATTTTAGTTTCAAAGATTTAAGTAAGCTGAACGATGAAAATAGAAAATGAGAAGAGAAGGAGAGAGAAGTAAGAGGATGAAGGAGAGAAAGAGAGAGAGAGAGAGGAGGAAGGGATGGGACTGAAAGTGAAAAAAATATGAAGTGAATCACCTAAATTTTTTAACTTGTTCACTTGGTAACTGTTCACATATTTTCCTCGTTTATTTAAACAATCTTATTTCCTTAGTTCAAATAAACAAAAGTTTACCTTCTTCAGGAAAGTACAAACTCCATTTCTTGTAAGGACAAGGGACCAATGGCGGCTGCTGTTGTGGTTGTCGTTGTCTGGGCTGTGGAGGTCTGTTGTTTGTTTGGCTTGATGTTCCACTACCAGAAGAACTGTTATTGCCTTTTATAAAACACAAAAAATAGGTGCAAAACACTGAGCAACAAATATAAAATGGCTACTTTGAAGAAAATCTAGTTGAGGAAACTTACCTCGTCTTCTGTAGCCTCTTCCACGTCCTCTCCAGTTACCTCTCCCTCCTCCTCCTCTAGAACTCATTCTTATTKCATTTTTAATCCAATATGCCAAGAATATTGCTCATTTATTACGACAAACCAGACTTTTGAAGCAGGAAAAACACTTTTTCATGTTTTGATCGCCGCCATTTTGAAATAAGCGCGCTAAAATAGTACGCCGCTGCTAATTGGTTAGTGTCTCAAAATAGTAAGCCAATAGGATGGGTCCTTATATCTGCTGCTAGATCCAATATGGCGTCCAGTGGCACAAAATTCGAGAGAAGAAGAAAAAGACCTTAYGAAAATACAAAACAAAGSAKTCCAAATAAGAAAAAGGTGGACGAAAATTCCCCTGTGTTTGTATTCTTCAAGGAAATCCAGCAAGAGCTTGATTCGCGTTATGACAAGCACGAAAGAATAGTAAAGTTAAGCAGAGATGTGACCATTCATAGCAAGAGAATTATCTTCTTATTACAACGTGTTGCTGGGGCCGAAAGCAAAGATGATATACTGAAAGAAGCTGAACAGAAGCTGGTCGAAGTAAAGGAATACTTAAAGGGTATCGCTTTGGAGCTGGTGAACGAAGATCCGTACAGATTTGGAARAGCATTTTCACCTGGGATACAAGAATACGTGGAAGCCCTCTCCTTGTACCATTACAACAAACACCTTTGCTTAATTTCTCACAAAGAAGTCCAAAATGAGCTCCGATTTTCTATARGTGAAGAAATGATAGTGCTAAATSTWAGCCCTTTTGATTACGCTCTTGGRATTGCGGATTTGACTGGTGAATTAATGCGTCTCTGCTTGAATTCTGCTGCCAATGCTGACACTAACACACCCTTTGAGGTCTGTAAGTTCCTAAGATCCATCCATGATGATTTTGTTGCACTGGGGAACATCAACCGAGACGTTTCGTCTAAGCTTAGAGTGCTTAATACCAGTTTACATAAAGTAGAGAGAGCATGTTATAACTTGGAAGTGCGCGGATCTGAAATTCCCAAACATATGTTGGCTGACTTAGTAAGCTCTGCGGCTGATGATCAACAAAACASTAACAATGATAGTTCACTGSTGTTGTAATTCATTAATCTAATTTTGGTTAAATAATAAAGAAACTGAAGTTAAAATACTCATCTTTTCCATCAGTAATAGTCTTTAAAATTGTTTTTCTATGACCTAAATGTGCTCTGCTGATATTCAATTTCACGTGACTAACTCTTTATACAATGCACTACTTCGCAAGTAAACTGATCTCTCAATAAGTCCAATCCGATATAACAATCATTTGTATTACGTATCATCATTAGTATATGCCCTAACTAGGACTGCATAACTATTCACTATCTAGACAGTATTCACTCGACTGCGCACTCATTGACCCATCTCCGATAACCTTTCTTGATATTCTAGCCACAATATCCAGAAGTCTGTCACACAATGTTTTTTCAGCCTCGTCTCGATGCGCGTTCCAATTCTCGGAATTCACTTACCCGGAAGTAAGGTTTTCCAAGAAAGCTGCTTCTTCGTTGTTTGCGCAGTTCTATTGCATGGTGGTTTACAATATTTTCGATATATCTCCAGCGCTTTGCAGTGGACGTTAGAGGGTTCATTTATATAGAATCTCGAAATCTGTAGAAAGGTAAGCATGCATCAACGTAATGTTGATAGCCATAATCTTGTCCAAGCTCAACTTGGTTTTGAAGCAAGTTTGCTTACTTGTGCTTTAAGTATTTCTGATCTTTTTAGGACATCTTGCTGCCCTTGACTATAATTTTTTCATGGCTTAAAAAGGTGTCGGGTGCATTTTTGAGAAATGAGTCGTAAAGACTAAAACATTTTTCGTGTTTTTGACTTTCTAGCAAACAGTTGACTTTCTAGCAAACACTGAAATACTCGAAACTACTCGCTTTATTTACATAGTAAACCGATTGACTTCTTTTGGAAATTGAAAATTGCTATATCAAACGAAAAACCTATTTTATCAGCCGAGAATCATATTGGATATCACTGAACTAAACATTGTAGCGACTCTAAGTACCAAAGCGTTTTATACGAGAAATCGAGAAACCGTAATCTTGTGCTTCCTCATTTCACCCTCTCTCGAATACTCACAGGAAAACAGATATATAGTTTTATTTCGAAAGATAGTTACAGAGACAGAAACGGTAAAATCGAACGCAAAAGTTCAAATAAGTTCAATAATTATCGATGCTGCAATATAATTGCTAGTACTTGCGTTGTTATGACTCAAAAGCTTAATGTATCCAATCAAATCGTTTGGAATTCTACAGACCAGAGCGACGCTTTTAATATTCAATAATCTATCTAAAACCCCATCCACACCTAAACATGTTTAGTTA